AATCCGAAATAGGCATCCGGTTCTTTTCATATTTCACACACCCTATTACTTCTACTAACTCAAGATCTGCTATGAAGATGGGATATATCGGTCGACTCCTTCTGGTACCTCCCCTACAAAGGATCAACATTTTGAATATCCATGACCCTCATAAAACGCGAAATTAATATCCGATTTCATTCAGACTTGGTACATCTTAGTATTTCCGTTAATACAAGATCTGTTATAAAGATGATAGAGATCGGATTATCCCTTCTGGAACTTCCCCCATATAGGGTTCAACATTTTTAATAACAAAACGCTCAAAGAAAGCGAAATAAGCAGCGGAATTTCTTCAAATTTCTTGTAAAGATAATACATATCTGCGAGACCCTTCTGTTACCTTTCCCACAAAGGGTCACAATTTTCAATACTGTTATCTGTCATAATTTGCGAAACAAGTCATCGATTCTTTACGACTTGCTATAGCTAAATATTTCTCTCAAACAGAAACCGGAGATGAATATGAAATTTATGATTTCGCATAAAAATGGATATAAATGTTCGATTTTTTTACCAATATTTTATCTCTATTAGACGAAGTATGAACCTGTAATTCTTCGGTCGACTATATCTGCTACCTTACTCACATTTTAACATTTTCTAACAGGGAGGCTTTACATTCTGCACGTGTTTCTTATCAAACTTTTTGTGATATTTCCAAATTAGAACTTTTGGCTTAAATTCTACAAATACCCAACAATCCATTTGCATTGCTCATGAATCCTGAACTAGAACTGGAATATATATATTTAAAAAGCTTCCTTTATTTTGCAACTTGCCTTGGTTTGTGCTTAGTTAAATGAAACCTTTATATCGAATTTCGTGTAATATACAGATTGGACTGATTTTGCTCTCTTTGGAATTCACCCTAATGTCTGTGCACACCTGCAAATTGTTATATATATTTTTTGGCTTTGCATATTTGTTTGTGTGTAGAATTTCATTTTATTAATAATTTAATGAAATTTATTACGTTTTATTTTTTTCTTTCAATTTCTCCAAAATCATTCCAAAATTAGCCATATGATATTCATAAAACTGTATTTTTATTAATATTCACATTCAATTTTTTTTTGTTTGTATATTAATTTTTACATTTAATCGCCTGCACAAATAGCTGTGATTCTCATCTTTGTGAATTTATCTGTTAGCTGACGCCTTCAGTTCAGGTGTTCATTTGTGAGCGATATGAAATTGTTTTTGCCATTGCTTATTATTCCTAATTGTTTTTCTTTTCTCCTTTTTCCAAAATCACACATTTACGATTGAACATTTCTTTGGGGAATAGAATAGAAATGCTTATTCGGAATATTTGTTTACATTTCTACGACGAATGGAATTTGAATTAAATGCCGTTGAAACTTCAAAGTATAGCAAAGTTCGAAAATGTTGTTTATCCTACATTTCAATCAATTGAAACAGTTAGACAGTGAAAATGTTTCACATGTAATTGAATTTCATAGTTTTGTATTTTTTAGTAATGGCATCGATTTGTTTGTATTATAGTTCATCATAATATTTACGAAATATTTTTACATGAATTTCCAGTTCGATTAATAATTTACGGGCATTGGAACTCGAAAAAGTTCTAAAATTTTATAAAATTTTATGAAAAAATTAAATAAGATAATTTGAATAGGGACTTGAAAATACTAATTTTAATTGAAATATGGCATATGCATAAAATACATACATAAACACTAGTCCCTAATTCGGTACACCTATTCCTAAACGTATGAGTGATTTCATGAATGTCATATATTTCATATCACTCATACGCAGAGTATTCATACAAACAATCGGAGTCCATAGGCTAGGTAAGGAATTAGTTCGATCGAACAAGATTACAACAAATCTAATGCGAACAATTTTTTTTAATATATAGAAATTTAAAAACTCTAGGTAATTTCCCAGCTAGTGGACATAAACTATTTAGGGAGGATTTCGTGAAGAAATTAATGAGTGATATTGCATTTTGGAATTTTGTAATAATTTTCTATTCCATTATGTGCATATAATGGGAGGACCTATATCCACGTTTTAGGTATATGTCATATAAGGTTAACATATAGGTCATATAAGGTTATCTCATATATATCAGGGAAACAATTTTTGATCAGTTACAAGCAATTAGACACATTCAAACGTGATTTCTTCGAAGCAGGTAAAATGCATGTTGAATCTTAATAATAACCCCACCGACAATATAGTTATGGAATTTTGTACTTTTAGTGAACATATAGTTGGACATATCTAGTCTCCGCCAATTCTGCAAATGTTATTCATTAAAAGAAATAAAATCTGGAACGTCCTCAAGAACAAATCTGTTCCTACTAAGATACAAATCGATTGGAAAATATGACCAAGTCCAGGGGGTACCTTATATAAGGTTTATATACAGGGTGAGATGAAAAACTACAACCAATTTCAGACTGCTGTCATTTCTAAGCCACTCGTCCGACAGCTGTAAAAATTATTCCAGTGATTATATCGTTTATATTGTTTACATGCGTACAAAAGTCGAAAATGGCTCGTGAGCTGAACATATCGCAATATTCCATTTGGGAAATATTGGAAAATGAGCTCGGGGTAAAGACTTTGAAATTCCAAAAAGTTAAAGAACTTACACCGCAACGGAAAGAAATTAGACTCACAAGAGCTAAAGAGTGCTTCGCGTGGCCGAAAGTAGTGAACTGCCGAAATTGGTTTTCTCCGATGAGAAAAAAAAACATTCGTTGTCCAGCAGTTTGTAAACAAACAAAATGATCGTGTTTACTTGCCAAAGAGGTCAGCTGAAAATGTGCCGGCCACGGCGATGGTGTGGGTCGGAATAACAGCCGATGGTCGCTATCCGCTGCTTATTAATCGACCGTGGCATCTGAATAAATGCGGAATATTATCGCGAAAATATTCTGGAGGGTATATTAAAGCCTTGAGCACGCAAACCTTGTACATTCCAACAGAGCTCAGCACCATCGCACTCAGACGCGCCACCCAAGAATGTTTACAAAATAAGGTTCCTCGCTTTATTTCCAACTCACAATGGCCAACAAAATCTCCGGATACCAATCCATTGGACTATTGTGTCTAAAGTATTTTGGAAAGAAAGATTGACACTAAAAAATACCAATGTGTCCATTACCTTAAGTAAACGCTTCGACGGGAATGGGCCGAAATACCGCAGAGCAACATACGTGCAGTGTGTTACGATTTCATTGGCCGTTTGAAGTCCATAATTCGTGCAAAAGTGACCAAATCGAAAAAATCTAAACTATTCTAAAATTTGATGCTATTTCCGACATTATTTGCTTTCATTCAATAAAATTAAAAAAATGTAATAATTATGGTGTTTCACTTTGTTGCAGTTTTGTGGGGAGGTACTAGAAAAAAGGTCCGATTTCTACCATCTTTATAACAGATCTTGTGTTAATGGAAAAATTGAGATGTACCAAGTCTGAATGAAATCGGATGTTAATTTCGTTTCTTATAAGTTACACAATTATTGAAAATTTTGACCCTTTTTGTGGGAGGTACCAGAAGGGGTTGCCCGATATTGCCCATCTCCGAATTTGATATAAGTTTGGTAATAATATTACAATGTAACCTATCACCTATCAATTGGGAACACTATGACATTTTTTTGGGCTATGTTAAAGGTCTTGTCTATACGGACCCGCTTCACTTGACTCATTGGAAGACATCATAGAAGCATTTATTCGTGAGATACCAGCCGAAATGTTACAAAGATTTTACTAAAATTGAATTAAGCAGATGAACGATTTGAGGCGCAGTCCCGGTTAACATTTGCATGAAATAACCTTCAAACATTAAATTATATGGATCATACTTTCAATTCAAATAAATATTTCATGCATATTCTGAATTGTATGTTTTATTTTTCGTATTCTTTTCTATAGCTATTTTAAATTCACATTTTATTTACTTAACGATGGAAATTTTCAAAACGAGTTTTTTTCAATATATGATCTTAAGTAATTTTTTGTACTGCACCGTGTATTTATCGGAAATTTTACAACCTATTTTTTGAGCCAAATAAAGTAAAAGCGTTACAAGATAACATGAATACATTTTTTAGGAAAAAATGTTGGCTAGTATTTACCAAATGATTTTTCGAATATTTACCATTTGACCCAAAAATTAACTTTATCCTGAAACTGTAGAATAATCTAACAAACAAATGTACGTTATAAACAAATATTCTGTTGAAATGTTTACCGTGCAATGTAAACTTTCAAAGGTTTGGTACAAAATATATATAAGTCGTGCACAAAATAGTAAATTTTTGGATAAACTGAAAGTAAAAAAATATGTTTCAATAAATAAGTTTTTTTATTGTTTCTTTAATAGGATATAAAAGTCAGTTGGAATGGGTAGTTTCAAAAAATATTAAAATGGTGCAAAATATAGCAACAGGTTTGTAAACTCTAAATAGAATAGTTTATTAACTATTATATTTTTGTGTACATCACTGGCATTAACCAATTTGAAAATATTCCCCTTAAAAAAAGCGGTTGGTAAAACGGCTAAGCACTCTCTGACCTATCCATTCATCCACCTCAAATTTCTTTATAAGAGTCTAGTTTGATTGTTTTCTGTATATCTCAAATGTTATGGTATAATTTCGTGTCTCTCTCTCTCTCTCTCTCTCTATGTATATATCGCAGTACTCGTCTACATGTATGTATATACGTACATATGAGTACATATCATTGAAATGCAAGCAGCCTGAATTGATTATCAAACATGTTATGGCACCTCATCGCACCAAACATGTGTACGATGCTCAACTTTACACCACTTTAGGGGTTTTAACGGCTATGTGGTGGTCATTGTTGTTATGCTCTAACACGACAGTTTTCATGGAATCGTGTTAATTTATTCAGAACATAGGCGTATCTATGTGTGTGTATGTCTGCATGTGTGACTCTGGTACTTACCATTAAACTTCCAGATTTACTGAGATTCGTTTGTGGTATCAATTCCAAATGATTGGGCCTTTGGGGTACATTTAAGTCCGGTGTTACAGCTGCAGGTCATGATGTAGATTTAAACGAGAAAAATAAACATAGAGAGACAAACATTTCGATTAGCATGTTATTTCAATGAAGTGTGTATGTATGTAAGTAATATTTGGTAATATGAGATAGATGTATTGAACTTTGATACTAGCATGATATTTCAGTTTATTTTGGGGGGAATTGTGGTTAGGATTTTTACTTGGTTTTGGGATATGGTATTTTAAATTAAAAAAAAGAATAATAATTTGTGTTAAATAAAATAATAGGTATTCGGACGAATTCTGAAGCGCACATGTTTTCATGTGAGGCACAAAGTGTTATTCAGGAGGTAATTCAGAATTGAATTTTCCTGGTCAAAACCCTAATCATCGTCACCGAATTCTTCATTTTATACAGAATTCGACAGTAAAAATATTAAAACAAAGCTATATGGGCGGGGCCGACTTTATTATAACTCTACACCCCTTTGCATATTTAGTAGAGCTTTACACAACAAATAAAAGTTATTATGGGGAATTTGTGAGAATTAATGCCAATTCGGGCTTATATTACCCATTTGGTGCACAATTAAAACTATAAGATCGGATAAATATACATTCTCGTATGGAATCTCTATCCAAATCTGAACCATTCTCGATCAAATATTGCAAAGGTATTTCTGAGCTGTATTTGATATATTTCCTCAAATATCGTTATTACGACTGTGGAGAACAAATAGAACAAATCGGATGAACAATATATATGTTAGCTATAGTTATATTTGAACCGATTTTCACATAATTGGACTTACTTGTTCCTAGGCTTAATTTGGCCGTAAGTGCCAAATTCCATCCCAATTGGGCCAATTTTACACTTTTGGTGCACAATAAAAGACAAATCGGACGAAGATATAGATGGGATCTAGGTCTAAATTTTGACCAATTATCTCTAATTTCAACAGGGTTCGTTCTTGGGTCAAACAAATATTGTTGGGAAATTTTCAATCAAAATCGCAAAATTTTCAAAGAAAATAATTTATGTTATAATAAGTGAAAAATCAGTAAGTTCCGCAAGACCGAAATTCAAATACCCTCCACCATTACGAAGAAATTGGCAAATTTTAAAGAAAAAATCCTGTGAAAAATTCACCTAAAATCATAAAAATACCGAATATATGGAGTTACTGTTATAATATACGACATATACGAAGATGAGGACCTCCATATGCAATTTTTGTCATAGGCCATTACGATACTCAACGAAACTTGAAACAATTCCGGTGAACAATGTCCCTAAAATCATTAAAAAACTGAATATGGAGAGGTACCGTTTTATGGGGGCTATACGTAGACATGAACCTGCACATGAAATTTTCTGTCACAGTCGGTAGAACCTATTAGGAACATCAAATACGAATTTTGATACAATTCGGGTGAATAATGTCGCTAAAATCATCAAAATACTATACGAAGCCGTGGACCTGCATAAGAAATTGTCTGTCATAGACTGTAATACACATTAAATACCACATTTGAAATATTTCCGGTGAAAAGTGTGATAGAAATCATCAAAATACCGAATCTGGAGGTATAGTTAAATATGAACTATACCAAAACTTATTCCTATATTGAGAATTCTATAGAAGGATATGTCTGACATAATGGGAACACATGCTGCCAACTTATAACAAATTCGGGTCGACTAAAACACCCAAAAAACTTTAAATCTTAAAAACCATTTCTCTTAAACCATTTTCAATACGAAAAGCCCTACAGACCTAACACGCATCTGAGTAAAATTTTATCAACCTACTTCAATTTATTCGGAAGCTTGAGTGATTTGCACAGACGGACATACAGACAGACGGCGGAACATGTCTTAATCGACATAGAATTTTATGCTGATCAAAATATATTTATTTTGTGGGGTCTAAAATTTATATTCCGAGGTGTTACGGAATGACAAACTTAATATACCTTCCATAATATGATGTTGGGTGTAAAAAGCGAAGAGGGGAGCCTAACACATATATGATTTGAAATTAAATTAGATGACAAAATTTAAAAGTTCGGCTCCCCCATAAAGGGTCCAAATTTTGAATAGTTAAAAATCTCAATATTTGCGAAATAATTCAGCGATCTTATTTTATATTCGCTTATTCCCATAATTCTACCAACCACAGATCTAAAGAGAAAATGGTATATTATAGTCCCACTTTTTCTGATACCTTCCCCACAAGGCGCCTATATTTTAAAAAAATTAGGGGCCTCATAGTATGCTAAGCAATTAACTGTGCCAAAACAAACATGGAACTTATCGGTCCACTCCTTCTGGGAATTTCCCTCCCTCAGGATTTTAAACATTATGAATTATTACTCTCTTCAATTTATCTATTTTTCTCAAACTTCGTGTCTAGTAACATTTCTAATAAACATAGATCTCTTGCTAATATAAAAATTATGAAAATAGTATACATCAGTCTGCCCTTTCTGGTACCTCCCCCATAATATTTCCACACTTCCCTTTGTTGAAGATTTTTGGTAAAATGATTTAAATCCCTACATATTTGTTCGGCGGGAAAATATTACCATCCTATTGGGGAAATGCAGCGACGTGGAAAAATGATTTCCAAAAAATTAAAATACTGTGCGACGTTCGTCAAATGTGAGTACTTTTGCAGCAATTTCCCAAACCTTTACCCCCCTACGCCCTATGTTTTTGTTCCCAAAACTGAAGAGGCACATGAAGGGCCAGGCTACGCTATGAGAAGAAAAAAGTGGTTGGTGCATATTGTCTGCAGTTGATTACCTCTAAGGCGATAAAAATAGAAATTTACAAATAAACATTTTCATAAAAAAAAAACAATTCATAAAATTGATAGATGCCACCTATGACAAGAGACTGGTACTATTTAAATGGCCCACAGTGTGTGCCTGTTGTGTTCATTCAAATATACGTATTTTATTACAAAAATGTTGTTGTTGTAATACATATAGTTATATATATATTTTTTTTTCTTTTTGACTAATGTTTGTGGTCGAAATATATGTAGGCCCTCGACATATGAATCTCATCAAATTTGTTGTTGTTTCATCTTTGTTGTAACAGTGACGTTGACGATGTCTTTGATTGAAAAGTGTTTGAAATTGTTGTTCTTTTTCTTTCAGTTTTTTTTTCATGAGATTTCGTTTGTAGTTTTTTTTTTTTTTTTTTGTTTTTTGTTCTCATCATGCCATTTGTAAAGTGAAAAGCGCTTTTCTTAATGTAATGCTAAAATACGACCCATTGACCACACACAACAATCACAACATTGGCCAAATGACGTCAACAACCACCTTGTACTCGTAAAAGAAATCGAAACAGAAAAGATATATCACATTTGTCGACCGATTTGGGAGCTGTTGGGGTTTTTTTTTTGTTTTCTACCGAAAAAAATAAGTCAACGGCAAGAAAAATGTTTATTGCTTAATCGTGGCTATTATCAAGTGAGTTTATTTTTAGGTTATGTATGAAAAAATCTGATGTCGTTGATGTCCATCATTATGAATCGAAAAAGAACACACAAGGGACAGAGAGTATCAAGGAAATATACAATGATAACTTCCCATAACTAGAGACAACAGATGTGCAATTTTCATAAGAAAATTATTTGTTGATAATTAATTTTAAATTTAATTCTCTTGAAATTCATGGATACGAAGCAGGTGGGTATGTATAATTCAATATAAGGATGAATATATTAGGTCATTTAAGTTGTGCATTTTATTATGTGATATAATAGTAATATGAGAAATCGCCCTCATGATTTGGGAGTATAAAATCATGTAAAATTGACAAAAAAATTAAATTTGCCAGTGTTAAGATCCCACCTAACAAAGTAAAATTCTAAGACGATTTATTTTTTAAGTCAAAACGAATTAAGAATCGTTTGTCTACAGGAAGGTCAATTTTGAAGATGGGCTGTATCGGTCCACGATATCGTATTGGCCCCATATAACGGTACCAATATTGGTATGTGCCAAGTCTTAAAATAAAAGGTTGTTCTATTAGCACTTTGTAAATTTCATAGGCATTCAAAAAATGAGTTATCCGATATATAACATCTGCTCACCGAATTTTATGTTGTTAGAAATATTGCTATATGTCAATTTTGAATAGAATCGGATGTTCATTTTGCATTTTGTGAGGGTTGCAGGTATTCAAAATTTTAACACTTCATTGGAAAAAAAAAACTTTAGGAGTAGTTCGATTTGATACACCAGATTTCGGGTTGGCTCAATAATGGGATGTGCCAAGTTAGAAATTAATCGGATGCTTATTTTGCATTTTGTGAGGGTTATAGGTATACAAAATTTTGAGCCTTTTTTGGGGAGGTTCTAGAAGGAAAGATACTCCGTATCGTGTATTTACACCATATTTTGTGTTGATATAAATATTGAGATGTGCCATGTTTGAAAAAAATCGGATGTTTATTTCGTTATTGGTATTCAAAATTTTGACCTTCACCCGGGGAGGTAACAGAAGGCGTGGTCTGTTCTATTCCATGTTCATACAAGATGTAAAGTTGGTAGAAATATTGAGACATGAGAAATTCGAAGATACTTGGACTTTTACTTCACATTTTATAAAAGCTATTATTTTTTAAAATTGTGACACATTTTGGGAGGTACCTATTGAGTGCGCCAATATTGTCCATTTTTATACCCTCCACCATACTATGGAGGGTATATTAACTTTGTCATTCCGTTTGTAACTCCTCGAAATACTCATGTCAGACCCAACAAAGTATATATATTCTTGATCAGCGTAAAATTCTAAGTCGATTTGGCGATGTCCGTCTGTCTGTCTGTCTGTCTGTCTGTCTGTCTGTCTGTCTGTCTGTCTGTCCGTCCGTCTGTCTGTCTGTCCGTCTGTCTGTCTGTCCGTCTGTGTGTTGTAATCTCGCTATCTTTCGAATGAATTGAGATAGATGGCTAAAATTTTGCACACATGTTTATTTTTCCAGTAGGCAGGCTAAGTTCGTAAATGG